AACTAATTGCAAGAGTTATAGGGTGGGGAATGGATATTTAATGAGCTGTAAATGTCTCTGTCACGCATAGTAAAAAGTGTTGAAAACAAAATCTTAGCAGGGTAGAGTGACACAGATAGGACTGTTGTTTTAGAAAAAGTGGTCAAAAATAGCCATTTTTAAGAAGGTTACATTCAGATAAAGTCCCAAAGGAAAGAGGAATTATGTGAAAGTGTTCTATGCTTGAGGAAACCAAGAAAAAGCAAGGAAGCCATGTAGCTGGAGCAAAGCAAGTAAGGGGGATAATAGGAAATAAGGGGCTACATCATGGAGGATTTTATTTTCAAGAAATTTGGATTTTCTTCTGAAATGGGAAATAATGGGAGTTTACATATTTGAACTCAAGTTTTTTAAAATCACTCTGTTGGTTATGTAGAACAGTGGTCCCCAAGCCCCAGGCCATGCATCGATACTGGTCCATGGCCTGTTAGAAACTGGGCCACAAGGGAAGCTCACCTGAGCTCCACCTCCTCTACCCCCACCCCACCCCATGGAAAAACTGGTCCATGGTGCCAAAAAGGTTGGGGACCACTAATGTAAAAGAAGAGATGACAGGATGCAAGAAAGATACAGTGATCATCCATGTGGGAAACCACAGGACTGGGGCTGGGCCTGAGATGTAGTACTCTCCTGGATGATTTTCATCCTTTCTTTCACCTCCTCAAACCACAAGCCTCACTTTCCTCCCTCTCCTCACTTTCAGCTTCTTATTTTATTAAACTTCAAGCAATTGGAAAAGAAATTGCACATGTGTTTAATAACAAAACTACCAAGCTTTCTGTATCTCTGCCTGCCCACTCCCTTCTTTACCTATCTATGGATGATCCCTCTAGACTACTCAAGATTTTCTTCATAAAAGAGTTTTCACACTACTCACTATACTGCATCAATATTTTCTCATTACTGGACCATTTCTACTAGTGTATAAATAAATATTTAAACAGAAAATCTAAACCCCCAATTTTTTGTTTGCTGTTGCCTCTGGAAGGTTTTCTTAGGCTCCTCCGAGGAAATAAATGCTAATCAGCTATAAAATTAGGCAGTATAGAGCTTTTTGGGGGGTTTGTGCCTGCTGAGCAGGGAAAATGGCGGGGTTTTATTTTTGGCTGGCTCTCTGTGGGAGTTGGGGATTGGTCCATTGTGAACAAAGCGGCAACATATCATTGGTGGTGTCCCTCGCACCCTTGTTTGACGTCAGCCATCTCTTCTGGCTTGTAGTTCAGCTGCCATGATTGATTGTAGTCCAGCCACCATTTTGTTTTACCCAGCCCATCCTGACAGCCTCATTCCCCTGTTCTTCATTACATCAAAAAGAAATAAATATACTATTTGCTGTCACCATTTATCTCTACAATCTGACTTGTTTCACCACCAGTTTATCATAATTGCTCTGTTCTGAAACTCTGAACAATCTGTATACTGTCAAATCCAAAGGTCAATTCTCATTTCATTCCACCTTTCAGTAGCAAATGACACACTCAGGCACTGCCTTCTCCCTAAAACATTTTCTTCATTTAGATTTAGGACTTCTCTGTTTTGGTTCTCCTCTTACCTGTGACTGCTCCTACTAAGCTCTTTTCGCTGGTTTTCTAATCTCTAAAGTATCACAAAAGTAACCTTTGGATTTTTTTTTTCTGTACTAGGTTAGCAACTTTCAAGTGATTTTCAAACTCTAGGCCACAACTGTTACTTGGTTTAAAGAAAAGGTCAATGTATTTGGGAGCAGAAGTTTCCAAAAATAGAACAGAATAAAGTAGAAGAGAAAGGAAATAGTTCATCACTCACAGGGAGGGTAAATTTGCTTCTTGAAACTTTTAAGTTATGTACATGTATTTTGTCAGTATGTAAATAGTATTCTGCATTTTGGCTTGAGGTCAGAAGGTATGACAGTTACTGCTCTGTGTGATCACATTCAATCCTGTGGCTTTAAATGCCACTGACAGATCACTTTATATCTCTACATGTGTTTTTCAGAATTCTAGTGTCTTCCATTGAGGTACTAATGATGCATATCTATTTGAATGTCTAATAGGCATGTAAGATTTAGCATATCCAAAATGAAATTCTTGATTTTCCTCCCCAAAGTGCAGGCATCCCTCTTCTCCAAGTCCATTCTTTTGATCATTCAGGCCCAAAACCTTACAGTCATCCTTCACTCTGTTATTTCACATCCACTTCCAATGAATCTGCAAATACTGTTGGGTCTACTTTTGAAATATACCAAATATAATGTGAAGGAAAATTGTAACCAGTGTAGCATAGGACAGTCAAAATCTAGATGTAGATAGATATAATGAAACCACGTCTTTATTATTAGTAAAAAGGAAAATGTACTCGCACTTGGAATCAGGAAACATAAATTCAAGACTAGCACTACCATATTATAGCTTTGTAGCACCTTAGTAGGCTATTGTTCAGTTCTTTATTTGTTTGCAAATCCCCCATTACTCCTTACATTCAGCATTCTAGTGGAACATTGTGTTAGGGGAAATTCCATTATAGAGTCATAAAAATTTGCAACCTATCTTATACACACTAATGCATTTTCTTGTTTGCAGTGAAACCATTACTAAAAAACTAGAGATTGTTAGATATGTTTAGACATTTGGTGGACAGTCAAGTTTCACTAGCTCTTGTGGTTAACACAGGTCACTTGGCTCAGGCCTGACTTCTATGTTTCTCGCAAACTCTAGGAAAGGGCAGGAAATTTCCCTATGAGAGCTGAGGCAATGGAAAGGTAGTATATTAGGAGTCCCTATCACACATATAGGATTTGCAATTAACCTGCTACCACAAGGCTAGTACTCCCCTTGAAGTAACCACCTCATCACCAACAAGCAATTCTCTATGGCAGCCGTCCATTCTAAGTGCAAAGACTTCTCAGTTGTGCTTAGTATCCTTGCTGGCAATCCTACCCTCAACTCCAGTTCAGCTGGCAACAATCCAAACCAAGAACCTGGACACATCCCAGTTGTCAGCTCCCTTTCCCTTGAGACTTTGACCTCCTTATCACTACCCTCTTGCCAAAGGCTGTATATAATTAACATTTATTGATTTCTGTGTTGGGCACTTTGAAGTGTTAAGCTAGCATTATTTCATCTTCATAACTATTCTATTCAGGAGATATTATCTTCCTTTTAGAAAAATGAAGAAAGGGATTCAGAAAGTTTAGCTAAATTGTGTGGATAGTAATGGCTGAGCCAGGACTCCCCCTACCATTGCCTTCATGAGTTCTGCCTAACTCCACAGATCCCTGTAGATCTGTGAAATTTCTTTGCCACTTCTTACAGAAGGATGGCAGGATTCCACATGCACAAATCCACTTTTTTGCTTTCCTGGCATGGTTTAGGCATAAGATATACCAATGAAAGATATTGTTCCTGTCTTCATGGAACATCTGCTCAAAGCAGCAGGAAAAGTCAACCACATTTTGGCAACTGAACTTGTAAAACCTAGATACTATAGTAGAAGAAAAGCACGGAGAAAATTTATCACTGCATTTTGTATTCTTTGTAATGTTGCATTCTAGGTGTGTTGCAGAAATGAAGAGGATGTTTGATCTTTTTGTGTTGATTTAGAGGGTATGTAGAGTCCACTGCTTTGACCCTGTCAGTTTGCTGTTGGACAGTCAAGTATGCCAAATGATCAGAATTGTATGGAGGAACTCCATTCTCCAATAGACCACTCCTGGACAACAGAACAATTCTGAAAATTTCTGGGGAATTTGCTCACTTTTCACTCAAGAATTTACTAGGAAATAATTCAAACTTTTAGTCTTTTATGCAATTATAATAAGTACTATGGAAAAAACTGGCAGTGGCTGAAACTTCTGCAAAGCTTGGTTTGGGGAAACTAGACTTGGTAGAAATAGTCAATAAAAACAAAGTGACAGAGTAAGTTTGATGTGGACACAATCTGCATGCTGAATCAATTTTTCACTTAGATATGTTTGTACTTACATATACAAACACTAATTTCCATGAAAATTTTATTTAAAAATAAAAAAGTTGAGAGTTCCAGGAACCTTCCCTTTCCACCATGTAGGTGGGGAGGTAAGCTGTGGGCATAGCAATTCACGACAGATTAAGGATCGAAAGCAAACAAGTGTTCGTTAAAGCAAGCAGAGCAATTATTGCTTATATCCGTCCTCTCCCTTCATTTGCTAACTTTGGGTAAGGAAGATTTTTCCTTATTATTCTCTCAGTTCAACATCATACTGCTGGAACAAATTCCCTTTTCCCAAACCACTAATGATATATGGAGTTAGGACCAGGGTCTTTATGGGACGAAGCCCAGCTGGTGGGAGCCTTCTCTATGTACAAGTTAGGCAAGGTGCTGAAGTTCCCGCCTTCGCAACCTGAGAGGGAAGCGCCCACAGTGCGGCGCTACAGTTCCGCCCCCAGCGTGGTGTCGTCACCTGGAGACACCTCCGCCCAACCGGCAGAGCACGTGACGCGAGCGTCACGTGACGCCAAGTCCGTGTTCTCCAGTAGAGAGGTGTAAATCTGACTGTGGCCCCAGAGCAGCGGCCCTTCTATTTTTGCGTTCCTGCAAGCTCCTGGCGGCGCCCTGGCGGCCTGGCCGCGAGCGCTGCGTGCACCTGAGGTAACTCGGGGCGGTTGGACCCACGCCACCTGCAGCTGCTGTCACCGCAGCACTCGAACTCCGAGGAGCCCGGGTCCGGGGGTGTGGCTGTTGGCTGTTGGCAGTGGGGTTCGCTACAGGTGGGCTGGACGGGTGCGGCAGCGGTTTTGCGCCATCCTGGGCCCGGACTTCGAGCCCTGGTGCCGAGCTGGTAGAAAGGCGGAAGAGACCCCAGTCCGTGGTCTCTTTTGCCCCGGGGGCGCGAGGCTGTGTTGGGGACCGGCCGCGCCAGGGGCCGCAGGATCCATTTTGCGCTGAGGGCCCAGGTGGGAATCCCCATTGAAGTCCAGCTTTTGAGGGGTCCTGAGACCTTGGACAGGCCAGCCCTAGCTCTTGGCCTGAGTTTCCAGAATCTGTAAAATGGAAGTGTGGACTCGCACCTTCTACGTCTGACGTGTGTGATCTCGAGAGAAACCTCCATGCATTGGAAGCTGTCAGACGGACATCATAGGTAGATATTTTTCTTTTAATTGCTAATTTTTTGCTTGCCTTTATATCTTTCATCTAATGGTATTTGGATTCTTGTTCATCCGGGTGGAGTAGAAAACTTAGAGAAAGTCATAATGGTTTATGTTACTGTTTTTTTAGGCTTTTTTTTTTTTTTAATGCAACGGAACCTTCTTAATACCTCATTTGGGAACCCAATTTGTAACAAGATAAAAAGAAACCTTAATCTGCCTCAGATTACAGTTAGAGAAGCTCTGTTAAAGAGTTAAGGAAATGTTTTGTGCTTTTGTTAATTTGATGGGATTTGGAAGATGAATCCTTGATGTTTGTGCAGTTTTATTTTTGCTTTGATTTTGTTGGACTATATGTCATGCAGTTAGACAGTTAGTATATTTCTTATGTATACTGGGAAAAAACCCGAAAATTTCCAATAAAGTCTCTTCTCTCCATGTTTTCTTGCATCCTAGGTCCAGGGAAGTATATGTATGCTTGTAATTGTGAGACCTCGTGCCTCATTTCTGGTGTAGTTGCTCAGACAAAATGGAAGTGGGAGACGTTGCAAGACTTATTAAGACCAACTGAATGGATTAGTTAGGACATTTTTACTGAAAAAAAAAATGAGAGAAGTGGATGAGTATGTAAGCTAACATCATTAGAATCATGGAATAATGTGACTACCAAATTTTGAAACTCTGGAGCAAGAGAATGTTGTGTTTTGAGAGGACTGGCTCTAGGAGAAATGGAGTGAACATGTAAACAGAATATGAGATGGTGTTGTGTAAGCAAAAAAAAAAAAATTACCAGGAAGAATTTTTTTTACATTAAGAGAAACACATAGTTCTTTTTTGTGCGTGTTTTCTAAACTTTATTTATTTATTTTTAAAGATTTTATTTATTTATAGAGAAATGGGGAAGGGAGGAAGAAAGAGAGGGAGTGAAACATCGATGTATGGTTGCCTCTAGCACACCCCGCACTGGGGTTATGGTCTGCAACCCAGGCACGTGCCCTGACAGGGAATCAAACCCATGAGGCTTTGGCTCGCAGGCCTGAGCTCAATCCACTAAGTCTCACCAGCCAGGGCTAAACTTTATTTTTATTGTTTACACTAAACAATAAAATTTTCCCCTTTTGCCCACCTGCACCCAGCCCTCACTCTTCTCTGGCCATCACCACACTGTTGTCTGTGGCTGTGGGACATTCATATAATACCTTGGCTAATCCCTTCTCCTTCTTTCATCTGTCCCTGTTCCCCCTGACAGCTGTCAGTGTCTTCTATCTATGCCTCTGTTTCCATTTTGTTCATCAGTTTATTTTGTTCATTAGATTCCATGTATAGGTGAGATCATAAGGTATTTGTCCTTCACTGACTGACTTATTTCACTTAGCATAATTATCTCCACATCCATCCAGTGCTGTTCTAAAAGGTGAGAGTTCCTTTTTAATGGCCGTGTAGTATTCCTTTGTGTAAATATACCACCACCTTTTTTATACATCTTTTTAATTGGTAAGAGATTTACTGAAACTTGAAGTTTGATATTGAAAAAGGAAAACCATGGCCTTCTTTTTAGCTTGTCCATTTTATGTGAAGTAAGTCAGAATTGTTGGTTAAGTGGACCATCAGTGGGACGCAAGGTAACCTCATGAAATGTTTTTTCTTTTCAAAGCAAATTCACTTCATTGATCTCTGGTTTAGGTTTTAGACAAGTCCCTTCCCTTCCTAGGTTCTCCTATAAAGCATGGAAATTAGATTAATTTCTGTTCCACTTTTTGGCTTCAATTAGGGTTGCCATGTAAAATACAGGACATAACAGTTAAGGTGGAATTTAAGATAAACAGTGAATAAAGTCTTAATGTAAATATTGCATAGGGCATATTTTACTAAGACAATTCATTATTTATCTGAAATTCAAGTTTAACTGGGCTTATCTTTTTATTCGCTAAATTTGTAGCTCTAACATTTTTGCACCATTCGATCCAGAAATTATAAATGCATAGATGAGAATGAATTGATTCAACTAGTCAAGACCCCCTATTTGTTAACAGTAGTAGTGTGTAGTTCTTGAGGAATAGCTCTGTTTCACTTGTGCCGCCCCTCCCCCAGCAGTTCCTCTTCTACCATGATCACATGATGTTTAGATTTATATTTTTGGTAATAAACAACTTAAATATCTAGAAGCAAAAACAAATAACTGGGGTTATTAAAAACAAGTTTTGCCAGATATCTGAAAGTAACAAATTTCAGTCTTAAAATCATATGTACTGTATTTTTCCTCATTATAAAAGATATGTTATAACCCTACTTGTTCTAAAGTTACATGATTGACTTCACAATATTTTCTCAAGCAGTGGACTGCTCTGATGGTAAATAATCTTTGAGGAACTTCTTATGCCTTTTGATTTGCCCCCCTTTGAATATAGAAAATGATTAGTATAACCACTATACATATTTTGTATTTTAATGTTATATTTTTTCTTTGCTATACAGTCTACTCTCAGTTTTTGAGAAATTTGGTTCTTGACCAAGTTGTCCATGAAAAAAATGTCTCAGTTATCTAACAGAAACTTCAGGTCTCAACAATCTGACAACCCTTTCATGCTGACATCTCTATCATGTCTTAGGCTACAAACAAAAGGAAATTTGGTTGTCAAATCACTTCTTGAACAATTTTCTGGAATGAATTAAGAACTGAGGTTCCACTGTATTTTGAAGATTCTCAAAATGTTGAGATGATTTTTCAAGGAGTGTAAATTTTTATTTGTAATTTTTGTAGGTTTTTATTTGTGTGTTTTTTTTAACCAGGCCAGATCCAGTTTCTTTCTTTCTTTTTTTAAGGATTTTTATTTATTCATTTTTAGACAGGGGAAGAGAAGGAGAAAGAGAGGGAGAGAAACGTCACTGTGTGGTTGCCTCTCAAGCTCCTGGTACCGGGGACCTGGCCTGCAACCTAGGCATGTCTCCTGACTGGGAATCGAACTGGAGACCCCTTGGTTCACAGGCCCACACTCAATCCACTGAGTTACACCAGCCAGGGCCACATCCAGTTTCTTAACTCACTCTGAAATGCCTGAATTTTCTAATTAATTAATTAATTCATTATTCAACAAAAAACTGAGTACCTTCTGTGACAGGCTGCTGTGATCAGTGTTGTAATTCACAAGTTATATAGGAGTTAAATCAGGTGAAATTCAAGGATAATGTGATGAGGACCTTGAAGTGGTAGAAATGCAATTGAAATTGAGAGGAGGATAGATAGAATGGCATAACTTTCTGGAGAGGGTGGTATTTAATGTAGGTTATGGTGGTAAAAGTGGGGTTAGGAAGACAGGTTTACAAGAAAAGTGGGAAGAAGCAGGAAAGGGTAGAGAATCCATTATTCAGTTCTACAAAGCATATACTTGGTTGAATTAAAAATTGTTGATAATTTTGTTTACAGGTAGTCTTTAAAAAAATTTTAAGTATATGCTATTGATTATCCTATTACAGTTGTCCCACCTTTTCTCCTCTTCACCCCTCTCTACCCTGTACCCACCTTCCCTCGAGTGTTTTCTCCCCCTTAGTTCATATCCATGGGTTGTACATACAAGTTCTTTGGCTTCTCAATTTCCTATACTATTCTTAACCTCCCCCTTCTACTTTGTACTCACCATTTATGCTTCTTATTCCCTGTACCCTTTCCCCTGTTCTCCCCCCAACCTCCCTGCTGATAACCCTCCATGTGATCTCTATTTCTGTGAATCTGTTCCTGTTCTAGTTGTTTGCTTAGTTGATTTTGTTTTTGTTTTTTTAGGTTTGGTTGTTGATCATTGTGAGTTGTCATTTTACTGTTCATAGTTTTGATGTTCTTTTTCTTAGATAAGTCCCTTCAATATTTCATGTAATAAGGGCTTGGTGATGATGAACTCCTTTAACTTGAGCTTATCTGGGAAGCACTTTATCTGCCCTTCCATTCTAAATGATAGCTTTACTGGATAGAGTAACCTTGGGTGTAGGTCCTTGCCTTTCATGACTTTGAATACTTCTTCCAGCCCCTTCTTGCCTGTAATGTTTCTCTTAAGAAATCATCTTATAGTCTTATGGAACTCCTTCGTGGATAATTCATTTCCTCTTGCTGCTTTTAAGATTGTCTCCTTATTTTTAATCTTGGGCAATTTAATTATGATGTGTCTTGATGTTTTCCTTCTTGGGTCCAATTTCTTTGGGACTCCCTGGGCTTCTTGAGCTCCTGGAGTCTATTTCCTTCACCAGATTGGGGACGTTTTCCTTCTTATTTTTTCGTATACATTTTCAGTTTCTTGCTCTTCCTCTTCTCCTTCTGGTACCCCTGTAATTTGGATATTTGAACATTTAAAGTTGTCCTGGAGGTTCCTAAGCCTTTCCTCATTTTTTGAATTCTTGTTTTTTCAGTCTGTTCTGGTTGGATGTTTATTTCTTCCTTCTGTTGCAAATTGTTGATTTGAGTCCCAGTTTTCTTCCCTTCACTGTTGGTTGCCTGTATACTTTTTCTTTATTTTACTTTGCATATCCTTCACTTCTTTGTGTATTTGCATCCATACTCAATCATTTCTGTGAACATCCTGATTACCAGTGTTTTGAACTCTGCATCTGATAGATTGGCTATCTCCTTGTCACTTAATTATTTCTGGAGTTTTGATCTTTTCCTTCATTTGGCAGCTGTTATGTTGTAAGGGACAGATCCTTAGGTATTTGCCAGAGTGGGGCAACACAAGTTGCTGGGTTGTGGTGCTGTGTGTGGGTGAGGCGTTAGAGAGGGAACAATACCATTTGCTTGGCTTCTGCCCCTCCTTCAGTTACTTCCCTTGCCACCCACAAGTAAATTGGGCCCTTCTGGTGCAGATTCTCAGGTGGGTGGGTTTGTGTACTTTAAGGACCCCATGAGCCCCTTCAGTGGACTCTCCTGTGAGACTGGCAGTTTCTTCAACTCGCACAGGTATTTGTAGCCAGTCGTTTTGAAGGTTTCTTTTCCTACACTGGAGCCCTGCGT